ACAGTAGATAATATCAGCTAAGACTTCCAGTAAGATTGTGGTTAGGTATCTCTTCCAAATCATATTTACAACACAATCCTATGAATGTCTACTCAGAAGTTACACCTGTTACGTTCAATGGGATTCACTCCCAGGGAATTATGTGTACAAGTACAGTCTCCAGTGAGAAAGAAAACCACATACATTTTGATGTAACTCGCTACTCTAAAAGTGAAGCTAGGAATCCAGGTTTGGATCCAGATTCAGAACGTACCCACTGAACTCAAGGGAACTTATTCTTAAGCATGAGTAAAACCCAGGATCCAACCCATGATATCAGGGTCACAGTCTGGTAGGGGTACTGATCCCCAAAACAAAGGATTTACTGGAAAACAAAGCACTGATTAAGCCAGACCCCCCCCCCCCCCCCACTATAGAATCGTCCTCGCTGGGGATCGAGCCCAATATTTTGTATGCTCACTACAAAAACGATTCAAGCCGGCCTATCACACCGATAGGACAGACTCTTTAGGTTTGCAGAAGTTGCTTTAGTGCAAGCTCTTCGTGCTTTCCTCGAGGCCATTTTTCCTCCAAGGCAGCTGTAGGAAATTCTCCTCTCTCATTCATTAATTTCCCTCTCGGATTACCTAACCAAATAGCTGCTGCAGCCTTTTAGCCATTAGCACCAGCCAGGAGGCGAGAAGAGAGCGAGATCCTGCTCTTGGCCCCTCTCTTGCTCGCTGCGGAGCGGTTATCGGGGGGGGAAGGGGAACACGGGGAGGGGTTGCGGATAAGGCGACTGAGAAGTTCAGGCCTGACCTCAGCAGGAACTCTGCAGATAGAGCGCTGGGAGGGCGGCGGGGGGAGCGGAGAAGAGCCGCGTCTCTCTCTGCCAGGCCAGCCCGGTTCCCAGCGAGTCGCCGGCCGAGAGGGCCGCGCTCCCGAGAGCGGAGAGGCCTTATCAGGCTCTCCGCTCCAGCCCGGCGATCTGGGGCCAGGGCTGCTGACATCCCAATCGGCCATCAATTTACCTTCCACCGCCCCGCTTCCCCATTTAGCTTTTAACGTCAAAAGCTACATTTTTGTCGGCTCCGGCCTGTCTAGGGCTCTTGCGATTTAGCTCCAGGAATGATTGCTCCTGAGAAAATAGCAACAGCCCCATTACCGAGCAATTAAAAAGGATCTTTCCCCCTCCCCTCCCCCTCTCCCCCGTTCATGCTCTCTCCTAGCTCTCTTAGCCTGCCCGCCATCACCTTTCAGTGGGTCGGGTGCGGGGGGGGTGGGGGAATATTTAAAAGCCAAAAGCCCTATTGATCATCTTGTGTGTGGGAATGGGGCAACGCCAGCCAGCCATTCACCACCCAATGTCTGCTTATTGAGGCTGAGATCCTAAGTTATGCTTACTTGGAAATCAGCCAGCTCTTCTTTCACCCAATGGTTGTTAGGGTTTGTGGGGGACAAGGGAATGGTATCTCAACATCTGAGGAACAAATCTAAGGGTCTGGTCCCATCAAAGACTTTAGGGCACAATCTTGAGAGTTTAGACAGAAAAAGGCCTGGAACTCCCAGCACAACCAAGTCACTTGCACCGGGAGTTGTAGGCCTTTTTTCTATATAAACTTGCACAGGATTGTGTCCTTTAGGGTGTAATGCTACCTCTGCTTAGGCAGAAAAAGTCCTACAACTTCTAGCATTCCCCTGCAAGAGATGTAGGACTATTTTTCTGCCTAAACAGGCACAGGCTTGTGCCCTAAAATGCTTTAAAACACATTAGCAGAACAATTTTCTTAGCATTGGCAGCTTTATTTGCTGCATGGTGCAGTAACTCAACCAGTATCAGCGCTTACTAAGAAGTCAGTCCATCAATTTCATCATTATTACCCAAGTTGCTGTTCCGCATTTAAGTGATCCCAGGACTGCAGCCCCCAAATTACCAATCCCCCATTTTGGTCCCTTTTGGATTCTATAGTATATTTCAGTTTTTCCTGTATGCAAACCTGAATCAAGGACAGAACCTGTTCTCACACTGATGTCTCAGCTGCCTTACCCACACTATTGAATTATTGGCCCCTCTGCCAATTCTTGGAAGTCTTTCCCCAGGATGGCCCTGAGCCTTAATCCCACCAAATTAAGTTTGGAATGGCGGCATGGTGGAGGGTGCCTGTGAACCACGGAGTGAGGGAAAACCTGGGTCGAGGGAGTGTAAATTAACTTTGTGCAGGTTTCAGTTGTATCTGCTGCTTAAGAAGGAGAGTTTGAGTAGGAAATAAGTGTGGGAGAGATCTCTTTTCTTTGCTAAATTGGGAAATATTTCTTCCTTCCAAAAAAGAAAAAGACATAAAAACCACCAAAACAAAAATCAAATCTCCTCTAAACACTACAAATCTTGGACATAAACTTGGCTCTTCTACAGCACTGTATAAAAGAGTTGCATTTTTCGAAGAATAAAAATACAGTACACTGATTGCACAAGAAAAACTTGTGCAGTTGGGGTCTGTGCCAGGAAACTAGGAACAGACACAAACAAGCCACAATGGAGGAGGGGTTAGCCTTGCATCCAATGTTAATCTAATCCAAAGGGCGATCCTGTGCAAGTCTCCTCAGGCACAAGGTAGCAACCTTCCCCTAGGCCTTACTGCCAGGCTTACACAATGAATGGGTCTCCTCTAAGCAGGACTAGCATTGGATACAACCCCTCAGTAGTTGTGCGATCTGGAGTCATTTCTTTCTCTAGCCAGAGAAGAACTTAGAAATCTGATAACATGATAATCATTCACAGAAAGCTACTGGTGTGTGCGGTGGAGGGATTGTATCCACCTCCTCAGCAGCGGGAACTAGAAGGAAAACTTTGGAAAAGGGGGTGTCCTTTCGAAGGCAGGCGTGCCTGTAAACACAGCGACCCGGGCCAGCCCGGCCCAAGCCGCCTGACCCCGAGACGGGAAGAGGGCACATCATGTTGGCCTGGTTGTTCTAACCTCGCAACCTCCCTGTTGTCAGGGAGGCCTGGGCAGCGCTGTACAAGAGCGTGCTTATCTTTTTATGGGCAGCTGGAGATCTACCTTCTCTCGTGGTCAGAGCCCTCTGGCCCGGCTGGAGCAAGCCACTCAAAAGGGGGCGGGCGCCCAACCTGGATGCCGTCCCATTTAGGCAGCGAGTCCGGCGTGCTCGCTACATGAAAGCGAGTTTGAGAGAAAGGACAGATGAAAAATCTTCTCTCTTAACCCGACTGAGACCCCACCGAGCTTCCTCGGGGCCAGCTGGACTCCTTGCAAACCAGGGGTGGCTTCGACCTCACTCCGGCAGCCCCAAGATGCCGTTAGTGCTCAATCGAGCGATAAAAAGATAAGCATCGATCAGTATCCGCCTTATCAATCGATACATTACATGCTGAATCCCTAGGCTTAGGAAATATAAAGAAATTGGCTTAAGAAAGATCTGTTGCGCGCGCGCACACCCCCACCCAGGGGAGATAATTCAAACTAAGCGATCCTAGAACGGGTCCGTCCTAACCCTTCAGTCCAAACGCAGTCCACGTCCTTTCCGAAGCGGCTTCGCTTAAGAAACAAACGCGATCGAAGCCTTAGTCAGATTCAAGGGAGGCGGGGAGACCGATAGACCTGGAGGGGTGTCTACTCCACCCATCAGGGTTAGGTTCGGAGTTTCCACCAGTCTAACTCGCATTCCTTTGCCAGAGTAGTTTCTCCTTTAAAGCCATGTATTTATTGATTGAATACTTCTTCCTGCGAGTTGGAAGACTGCAACCCGAGCGAGTTTGGGCGAACTCGGTGAGGTCACTATACCTCACTGTAAATCTTGCATCTCTCCCCAACCCATCCCCCATCCCTTCCCTAAATCCCTCGCCTTGTTCTCTGCTTCGTACTCGAGGAGGCAAAATTACTTGTTACATAATCACTTCTACCAAGGCTTGCGAGTGTCTTTGGCCTGCCCCAGCCAAAGCGCTAGGGCGGGTCCAGGTTGGAGTCCGCTTCTTACGGCTTTCTGCAATATCCCGAGTATAAGACGCAGCGAAAACAGTGGATCCAGTAAGTATGAAGTACGTGTCACGTTAGCTTCCGTCCACAGTTCCCTCCCTCTTTCACAGCCAAACACCTTGAGAAGCTCACTGTAAATGGCTAGGGCTTCTGGAAAAAGAGACCGTCTCTCTGGCTCCTTCTCTCTTTCCCTCCTCATTCCCCGACAGAGAAAACAATGCAAAGCTCGTCTCTGACTCGCTCCAGCGCAAACTACTGCTGCATTTAGACACGAAGAAGCAGCGTTCAGCCGAATGCGAACGCTCCGGACCCCTTGATTTCAGTGGGATTTCTATGAAGAATCCCTGGTTAAGAGGAAAGCCAAAAATCTCAGAAATGACACCCCACTTCTTTATCGCTCCTTCCGCTTCGAAACGGTAAAGAAAGTTCTCTTTTGCTTCCCCGGGGAGAACCTGCACTCAGAATAGATGAGCAACGAAAGCGCTACAGAGTTCAGGGTCCTTTCCCAGGTAGCCCTCCAAAGGATCACCTTTTAGATGTCACCTTGATCATTCCCCTCCAAATATTATGCATACCACAACCTCTCTGTCTCTGTCTCTCGGAGAGATTGTGTTTAAAAAATTTTTTTGAGACATAAAGCGTCAGATTTGCATTTAGTAAAAAAAAAAAAACCCAAACACACAGTGGTTTATTGAATACTTACAGCATTTACACCTTTCAATATTAATTCAACTCCACGGATTATTATAATTATTATTTTAATTTTAGGTTTTGCTTCCTTAGGGAGGACCGAAGTGCACATTAACAAAGAGCTGTTCGAACAATCTCTTCCGACCATTGAGCGACCACAAGGAAAAGGCAGAACAATGAAGTCCCATCTCAGCGCAAGACACAGCAATCTCGGGGAGGGATAGGCGGGGGGGGGGCGGGGGCGGGGGCGGGACGGGACTGTTTTGATCTGAGCTTCCCATCCACATGTTCATCCAACAGGGCAAGTATTAAACATATACACTTCACATAACACACTAATGCCTTCAAGATTATTATTATTATTATTATTTCGTCCCGTGTGTTCTATACAAACAAAGCAAAATAACATTCATGGGAGGGGGAAAATAACTAGCGAGACCACACGATCCCTTACCACGCCGGAGTTTTCCTCTTCATATATTCAAATATGGAATGCTTTTCTTCCAAAGATCCACATTTTGAAAGGGGAGACTAGGGGAGGGAAATTGCACATAAATAAACCAGACGATTCCAAACAAGAAATAAAAGATGTCCCCAGCTCAGCAACCTCTCCTGAAGTTCCAGCGTCCTCCAAGACATTATTTCCTCCAGTCCTCGCCGCGCTCTCACTGCTTGAGCTCCAAAGCCCACACGTGCTGCGGCCAGCCAGTTCTCCCTTTGGTTTTCTTGTCACTGCTGCTAACTGTGCTTTTCAGAATTTCGTTCTGTTTGGGAAAGGAGGCGAAGAGGAGAAACAAAGAGATTATCGCCCTGCGGTTTCTGGGTCACCTCCTCCCGCCAGCCTCACCTTCGGGGCACAAGGCAGGGAAACATGCCTCGCTCACTTCTGGAGCCGCTTCGCGCGTAGTTCAGGACTGCCCAGCTCTCGCTGAGGCCTCCCGACCGTAGATCGAACCGCAGGCTTTGCCTAACTCTCTCCGGCTGCAGGCGCCCGCAAAGCGGCGTGTGCGCCCTGTGGGGAGGGGGCTTTTCAGTCTTACACAAAAGCTTTTCAGTCTTACGCAGTCTTGCACCTTCTGAACGAGCCTGGGCTGATTCGCAAAGCGCTTGGCGCTGCGGTAGGACCACATACCCCGGAGTACAGAGCACTGAACCCAGGGGAACTTCCGCGTCAACGTGGAGGTAGATGGCAAGCGGGATGGCTCTCTGAAGCGGATCACGAAGAGCGAAGTGCCTTGGAAAGCGAAGCTCTGGGTTCTCCCTCCCTCTCGTTATGAGGGGTATGCCCACGGCTCCGGGTTAAGCGATTTCAGAACCGGCATGATAGAGCCGCAGGTCTGAGCCAAACAGAGCATCAACCGAGCCGCCCGCTCATATTGTGTGTGTGCGCGCACTCATGCGTGTACACACACAAACACACGCACGATGACTCACCAACACCTCCCCTTAAAAACAAAAGCATCTACGGAAACATATTGTAGAGGGACTGTATAATTTCTCCGAATGGCAGGTTCAGACAAATTCCCTGTGACTCTTGCTATGAAATGCATGTATTGTGGAACACACGCCTGAGTCAACATGCAATTTCCCTTCCCATTTTACTTCGCATCCATGCAGTCATTCCCGCCCTCCTCGCAGCACATCTGTATATTATTCACACAAACACTGCATAGAAAACTGATTTCTATAACTTTGTGGATACACGAGCTCCATATGCTTAGCCAAGCTGATTGTAAATGGCTAGATCATGACTAAGAATAAATCTTTGGAAGCTTGGGATGGCGGGGGCTTAATGGGCGGGGGATTCCCCTCTAAGAGCACAGGAAGCCCCTCCTGCAGCCTTCCTGCTTGTCCAAGAAAGTCTGTTCCAAGTCTGTACCACCACCCTCAACGCCACAAATTAAAGAATGGATGGTTGAGCAGGGTATAAAAGGCTTACTCCAAGGCAGATCCCTGAAAAAATTGCGGCGCCCCGATCATAAACACTTCTGCCTCGGAAACCACATTCCATGGGTTTTGGACCTAGCTTAACAGGTTTAGGGCCCAAACTTCACGGACTGAGCCCAAACAGGTATAGGGTGCAAGCTATGCCGGGAAATGTAGGGCCTTTTTTCTGTTTCAACATGCAGAGGACTGCAGCCTTACAATATCCATTGAATAATATTGCATATGAGTGGGATTTGAGCCCCAAAATAATCTTAGTTCCTTTCCTTAGTTCGGTGGGATCTTTTTCTTTTTGTGTATAGTATATACTCAGATTCTTTTTGACCCCAGTCTACAGTGCTCCACCTTTCCTACGGTCACACATTGCACTATTGCATTTCCAAATAGCCCATTGTTTTCAATGGAAGATACTTCCTAAGGCTTAATCTCACTGCCTGAAAAAATGTGTGGAGGTTTAGTTGGGAAAAGAAAATGTATTCCGAGTGTTTGAGTTCAGGATTGTTCGCATGATTAACCATTCTAATGCGAATTGAGATTCAAAGTCCTGCAGAGAATATTGTCTTCCCAGTCATCCTTCTCAAACATATTTAAGGAAGAACATCAGCAGAAAATTTGAGGTTATTATAACCTGGTTTCCCCATGTGATTAATTAGGTTTTACTCTGTAGGTTAATTCTTGGCTTCCAAGAAGATAAAAGGTCGGATATTTTGAATTATTGGTAGAGGAAGGGGCCGCCCCTTAACAGGCATTTGAACGGTAGACTGTATCCTGCATTAAGCGAACTGGTGCGCACACGGAGAGAATCGAGGTCCCTGGATTATCTCCGAAAAGGGGTGATCGTTGGAATTGAGTTGAGATCAGATCTATTGGATCTGAATGCTTCTGCGCGAATGTGTAACTAGGGTTTAGCAAAGCCCTCAGTACTGCAACACATGATTTGCAGATTTCAGCGGCGAGGAAGAAGAAACCCGAACACACCGGCCGGTGTCATAAATCCGAAATCTTGCAACTGGGTCTGCAGTCTGGGATTGCGTCACTGAAATGCCACTGATGTTGTGGGACTGCTTACCCCTCCCCTATCCCAGAAAATGCCTTTTGAGACGATTCATAGCCCCCCCCCGCAAGTTTTTGGACGGAACTCAGGATCTCTGCGGGGCTTTGCCGACTGGGGGATCAATCCACGACTCCCTCATTACAAGGCGTTCCTTTCCTTTTGATTTTAAAGGCAGCGCTGCGAAATTTGTGAGTTGTGGACTGTAAAACTGACAGCTTCATCCACGGACTGGAGCGAGGACATTTCCGGTCCGACCCGAGACTGGGTAAGAGCGAAATCCATGAATTTAATCGGGCATGAATGTTTGTCGTTGACATCCACGGGCCGAAACAAGAGCGAGAACGGCCGGTTGTCTTCCCACTCCCAAGACCGCAGCCACTCGGATCACAAAGAGTTTCTCTCTCCGCCCCCATCCCCACCGCCAGGAGATTCCTCTTTAAGCAGGCCTCTTTGCATTTCCTTGAGATTCCCTGGAAGCGCGTTTAGGATCGAGATGGGCAAGGACGCTCCGGGACTGCTTCGGTCTTACTTGACCTAATGTTTGTTGCGTGGATCCCTGCCTATAATGCCTTCATGGCTGCAGCGATCCTAAAAGCTCTTCCTTCGAAATAGGAGCGCGTTCACCGTCAATGAACGAGGTTTAATTTCCAAGATCATGCGTACCCCAAGAAAGCCTCAAACGAAAACAAACTGCACTAAACTCAGTGGGGAAATTCACCAATTCAGTATTTTTCGAAGGGCCCCTGCAGTTTATACAGCAAATGGTGAAGGCGCAGGGGACGGATATAAACTTCTTCCTTTGATACCGCCCCCTGAGGCCTTCCCTATACTTTCTGATTAATGATTATTAATAACAATGATAATATTAATAATGAGCGGTATAGTAGACCTTCCTTTCAAATAGAGGGGCGTGACTATGTATCTAGAATCGACTAGTTCCCAAACCTATTGTCCTTCCATCTAGAAACATGCGGACCGAAAGGTCGCTGCGAAAGCAAATTACGCGTCGGACAGAGCACTACTGGACAGAACCCCAGCTCGGTTCTGGGGAAAGTAATGGGATTTCTGGGACAAGAGGTCGTGTTTAAACGGGAGTGTGGGAGGCCGGGGACTCCACTGCCTTTAGAATACTTCCCTGGAAATAAGGCCGGCTGAAATCAGTGTCCCAACACAGCCCCTCTCACATTAAACGTCCCCCCGTGAGCGAAGCTGCACGCTCCTCGAGGGCTTGGCACTCGTTCAGTTCACACGGCTCCGGTCCGCGGAACTCGGTTCCAGCGAGGAGCGCTTAGACGCTGCTTTTCCGTGCAACAAGCCCGAGCGCCAAACGCGAGTTCTAGCTCGGCAGTGGAAGATCCCGGCCGCCGTGGATGCTCCAGGGCCTTCCTTCACCGGCCGCGAAATGGGATAAGCCATCCCCGTCGCTTCGCCTCCCCCACCCGCGGCTCCTTTCCCGCGTGGGGCCCTGTCCCGCGCGCCCGGGACCTGCCCTGGCAGCTCCGCCGCGCGTTCCCCACCGGACGGAGGCGGGCCCAGCCGCGGGGAGGAACAGCCCGTCCCCTGCGGTCCCGGGGCGCACCTCCAGGGCTGCGCTCGGTCTCCCAGGCTCGGAGGACGGCGGCCCGAGTCCCTGCGGCGCGCCCTGGAGGAGGCCGGCCTACCCGTCCCCGGCGTCGGGGGCTGCGCGCCGCGCGCCCTCCCCGCTCCTCCTCGCGCCACCCTCCCCGGACCGGCGGCGGCGGCGGCGGCGGCGGGCGGCGGCGGCGAGCACTACTGACCAGCTCCTTCTTCCTCTTGTCCTCCTTGACGTCGGTCTTCTTGATCTCGGCCTTGAAGGCCTCGGCCTCGCCGTTGGCGTCGTCCTTGGCCAGCAGGTCCATGAGGTAGGCGATGTAGCTGGTGGCCAGGCGCAGCGTCTTGATCTTGGAGAGCTTCGTGTCCGCCGGCACGTTGGGGATGCACTCGCGCAGCTCGGCGAAGGCGCTGTTGATGCTCTGAGTCCTGCGCCGCTCCTTGCGGTTGGCCGTGCCGCGGCGCTTGACCGGCCGGGGGCCGCCGCCGCCGCCGCCGCCGCCCCCCAAGCCCGGCGGCCCGCCGCCGCTGCCCGGGGGCGGCACGCCGCCCACGTAGTGGTGCGGGTGCTCCAGGCCCGCCGCGCCGTTGGCGTACTCGGGGCTGTAGGAGAGCGCCATGCTGTAGTCGGGCGGAGACATCTCCGAGGGGTGGCTGCTGATCAGCCAGCCGTGGAAGTAGGGGTTCTCCTCGTGGCTGCAGCGACTGGCGGCGGCGGCGGCGGCAGCGGCGGCGGCGGCGGCGGCGAACGGGTAGCCCTCATGGTGGACCACCGGATGGTGGGGGAAGCCCCCCACCAGGCTCATCGCCGGGCCCCCGGCCGCCCACCACCCCCGATCCTGTCCCCTGGATCTCAGCTCCCGAGAAGACGGGCCCCCGCCTTCGGCTGGCCTTAGCACAGGGCGGTCGCCATGGGGTGGGCGCTGCAGAGTCCCCGGAGCCCTCCGAGGGCAGGATCAGGGCCTCCCTCGGCACTCATGCGGAGCAGCAGGAGCGGGCTGAAGCTGGAAGTAACCACCCAATCCAGCCAGGGCAGGGGGCGCAGCCCCCCTCCCTCAAAAGAGGAGCCCTCCCCCCACGGATAGGTTCGAGCTTCACTGGCTGTCCTTGCTTTGCTTCTTCTCGGCTTTGATGGGGGGAGGGCGAAATAAGTGGGCGCGGAGGGAGGGATGTTTACTTACACCTGCATTTTCTCCGCAAGCCCCCACTCGGCCGAACCGTTTCCCCAAGGTCTGTCCACTTGCTTCTGCTCCCTGCACGGGAAGCGACTCGCTCGCTCGTTATATCATGAAAGATCCCAGCATTTTCCCCTGGCTTAGCGTGGGGGACTAGAACCCACAGAGTCCACCCCTCGGGGAAATCCGAAACTTTCTATTCCTATGGAGGAGCTGCTGAGAAGGATGATGACGACTGTGAAGAAGATGGTGGTGACGAAAAGGGGCAAAAAGAGAGGAATGGAGGAAAAAAACCAGTCGCGTTCAGGATTGCTTTCCAGATTCGGAGGTGCGTAGAGCGCTGGTCGAATTTCCCAGCCTGATCTCCATGTACAGCTACATCTTTAGGGCAGCTCGGGTTAATATATGTCGTCAGAGGTTCTCTCGGCCAATCGGCGACGTCGGGGGCGGGGCTCAGCGCTCTGGGCCATAAAACTTTTTTTTGATCTTCGCGCTGCTAATTGTTCGGCTTCTCTTTTAGGATTGGCTGCCGTTCCTATCCATAATATAATTAAAACAAACGAGGGAAAGGGTCCCCCCCTTCCAGCACCGACAGAGGTTAATGCAAGTATTTAACAATGCTTTGCTGTAAGTATGTCTATGCATGCCGATATTTTGGTTGCTGAAATAGACAGATCGACAGATAGATAATCTAAAATTGCTTATAAATTCGGCTGTACTCTAGATTGCAATAACCTGCATGTATTTCTATAGTGTATGCTGTACTATAAGACCATATTGACTGCCGAAAGTGGTAACAATAGATAATGTGGACGATCAATTTAGTTACATTACATATGTTTACATGCATAATTCTTAAAGAAAAATATTGAAGTGGGACAATATCAGAAAGATTCTTCGAACTGAGATTAGCATTTATTACAGCTTGGAAGTAAACTCCTTTGAAATGAATGAGATGCACTTCCAAGGAAAATGAATTCAGAATCTGAGTGCCACTTAGAAATTATCAGAAATTATCTAACAAAATATTCTTACAGTAGACTATAGTAATGCATTTGCTCCTTTCATCCACTTTGGTCCATTCAGGAAGACTTACAGCCAAGATCTATTGGCTTGTTTATGATTAATCTGGTCTAAAAAGCTTGTTACATGTGGTATATATGGCAAAATTAATGCTCCAAACTAGGAATTGGATGGTGTTGCTTGCAAACCTTTGCTTCTTACAGACACAAACAAATCCATTGCTCAAATGGATGAGAAAGTAATCTTTCAAGAATAATTATGTTTTTCTTTTCCAAAGCAAAATGATGACATCTGAATCCTTTTCTTTCAGTTCTGTGGGTATTCACACGCTCCCTGCCTGAAATAAGTTTCCCTTCGACTTAAGCAGCTCAACAGAGTAAGTAACCAGATCTTATTAACAGCATGTTATGTTATTTTCCCGTTTAGGTTAACAAAGATATAAATATCTCTTTGCATTTTTCTTATTTTGCTATAAAATCACTGCTGCCTATAATAATAGTAATAACTGATCAAAATGCCAAGGCATCATGAAGAAAACAGGTTTCACTTAGGGAGGGGGAGTAATTAAAGAAAGGTTTAAAGGCTGCCCGCTGAAAGCCAAGAGATATAAAAACTTTTGTGCCTGTGAGATGTTGAACACATTCTAACAGGAAAAGGGATTCCAACCTGCTTTTCATTGAGAAATTGGTAACTGGAGGTAAGAAACGGAGCAAAGAGTTTCCTGTTGCCTTCCCCAAAGAAGACTCAATAGCTGGGCATTTTTTTTCCAGCCTTGGCAAGAGGACTGCTGGATTTGGAGTAGATTAACATGCAGTTCCAAAAATTGTGGGGAAATCACGTTAACAAACCCCCCAGACCATGAATCCATGAGTGAAATGGGACTTTACTTCTTGCTGCTTCTTTGGCTTAAACCTGAACACTCACAGTTTGCAGATCTCAGGCACAAGCCCTTCTGAGGAATCCAGGTAAACTTTTCATGGGTACCTGATGCTTGGAGAAGAAATGTAGGGACAAAGTTAAGGGTGTCTTTGGAGCATTCAAAATATGTTGCACTTGGACTGGGAGCATGTTCCATCAAACAGGTTGCCCCTTAAACTCAAGTAAACATCTCTTGGTGAGAAATCTTTCAGATTGGTGCCTGCCATATTTGTCTCAGGAATCTTGTTCCTAATTTGAGGCTAAATCCAGTCTTTGCCATATTTTGAGCAGACCCCTTGAAATCTATGGGATTTAAAGCCTTAATTTAAATCTCATAAATTTCAGTGGATGGGCTCCAACTGTGGCACTGTTTGGATCCAAACCGCATCCTATAATGTGTCACGCTAGAGGATGCTCTTTGCTTAAATAGGCTAGGAATAAAAATAACTGCTTGCAGCTTCATCTTGTAGAGATATTAATGTCATATAAATTGACTTAGTTCAGTTGCAATCAAAGTACAGCCTGGGACTATCTCAGTAAGTTCAGTGGGGCTGTGACTACAGTTGCAGCCTTAAGATCAGAGTGTCAGGAATTGTGTGCCCTGACCGATGATCCTGAGATCAGGGCAAACCCCATTTATCTTACTATTAGAATTTTCTTCAGCCAGTCAAACAGAACTCTTCATATCAGAGTTAGACTTGAGCTTGTGCTGGCACATTCATGAATGGATGCATAGCTCAGTCAAGCAGCAGCAATTTAAATAAAGATCCACATAGCGGAAGTATAATGGATATACAAATAGAATGCATCTGAATATGGTAAAGAAATGTGCAGATCTCTTTCAAGATCTTGGTGCATACAAATCCCAAATTCTCTCCTGGTTAGATATTCTTCTCATACAACGATTAAATATAGTGAGTGGAATTCTAATTATTTACAGCCACATGAGAATTGTGCCATGGTTTTCAATGGAGCTTGGATTGTATTCAATTAATGTGAAGGATGACTGTCAGGAAAGGAGTCCGGATGGGGAAATCAGAGCCTCCCTCGGCAGTCCGGCTAAAGCCAAGCATTCGCTTTAATTCCGATTTCCCGATTAAGCTAATTGGCACCCCGATCCTAAAGGCGTTTACTTGGAAGTAAAACCTGCACTGTTTTCGGTGGTCTTGCAATAAACGTGCTCAATCCAGCTTAATATTGGCTCCCAAATACTACTTTGCAATCCTGAATGCAACCTTCCTGGAGAGCAAGTCCCCTTGAACGAAGCTCGGGGGACTCCCTTCCTCGCGAGGAAATGCCCTTTGTTTTAGGACTGGGATTGCTTGCATTAGGAGCTCAGTCGGACTCTGGGAATCCGGCTGTCCGAGGCTGAGCGGAGCTGCTTGCCGGAGAGCGCGGGGTGGCTGGCGGAGGGGCGAGAACAACCCAGCCGTCTGCTTAATAATGCCCTCGCTTGCAGTCGGATGATACATCCCGCGTTCGTCTATCTGTCCGGAAAGAAATTAGGACTTCTCAGAGGACTGGAGGAAGCGATTTCTTTCGCAAGTATTTTTCGCTCGCAATTAAAACTGGGCTCCCTCGCGCAGCCTTAGGACATGCCCAAGCGCAGGGCGGAAAAACTTCTCAGCGCCAAACCGCTGCAGCTGGTTCCCTCATCTCTTCGGGGAGAAAAGCCCTGGCAAGCAAAGGGCTGAGGAAAGGCGAGCGGAACTCGTGCATCAGAGGGGCAAACTGCAAACGGCTTATTCAGTAGAGGAAGAGGAGAAGGCCATTCCCTTCTCGGTATTCGCAGTCAGGGGCCCTTCACGCACCACTGTCCGTGGGCTTCTTGATTTGCTTTCAGAATGTGTTGCTTTAGTTATCCTGAAACCTCCAGGCAGACTCGTCCGAGCAGGATCGGTCTCCCCGCCCCCAAAGCTACCTCCCGCTTTTGATCCTCTCCTTTGGAAAACTTTCCTTCAATTTACTCCAACTAACCAGTCCCACCCGCCCCCGAATTTCGTATGTGCTTTCCATTCTGTTCAAATCCTAAAAGCCCGAACTGGAAGCCTCAGAAACCAGTAACGCTGACTTCCCACTGAGGCAGACTTTGTGGGTCTGAACAAAATAACAACGGTATTCCGAGTTTTAAAGGATTCGCATTTGGAGTGTTTGCTGTGTGTGCCTGCGTGTGGGATTTCTTAGTTCCATAAACTATTGCTTCTTACAAACCATGAACGGAGTCTCTAGTGCATTCATGGTAGCAGCTCACTGTATAATAAAAAGCCTGTTAAGATGAAATAAAATTTCCTGCACGCATTTAGAGTGCTTAAATTTCACTGAAGCAAATGGCAAAGTTACAGAGCAATCTTCTGCATGTCAGCTCAGAAGTAAGTCTCATTGAGTTCAACCGGGCATCCTGCCAAGTCAGTGGGCACAGGGTGGCATTCTTAAGCAGTTTACCCACCTGTGGGGTCAGAGTCTGGGGGAACTAAATGAATTCTGAGTCCTCTGCTGCGGATAGTTGTGCTCAGGACTGTGTTGCCAACTACTTTCAATTCCAGCTGGTCAGCTTGTTGGAATGAAGGAAGGTCAGTTATGATGTATACACTAAAACGTACACAGTTACAGATTATGAGACAAGATGGGGGAAAGAAGGAGGGCTGGTGAAAAAAGAGAACATTATAAAAGCAACCGAAGAACAGCAGATG